TATGCACTTTTGATGGCAATCTTCATATTCATTTTCAAAAGTGTAGACCACAAAACTGATAAAATGAGGCATTGCAGTCATGCAGCATGGCCGCTTTGATTTTCCATACATTTCCAACACGCTTCTTAACTTTTGCCAAGGTGCATGATTATACTGAACACTGTACTGGATAATGATTGAAATCATTTTAATGTTACACAAAGAGCTGAATGTTAACGTGATGCATTTAAACCAACACCTCAGTTAATCAGCACAGAAGAATTTTAATCAAATATATATTTGTATTTTGTGTAACACAGAAGGGTTCCTTACTTCTGTCACCTCTTTTAGTGCTCTTGGGAAACTTAACAAGACACAGTTTTCATAGCACTTTTCTTCATATGGAATGAACTTTTTATCAAGCGCTAATCCTTCAAATTAAAATATGTTATGCCACACGAAAGATAAATTACCACACAAAAATACTGAATATTTTAAAACGCAGTGGTTTGTTGGTTAGCAAAAAAGATGCAGATTCATCGTATAATCAATCAACAGGAAAGACATTTGCTGCAAACTTACTATACATTGAGTTGATTTTTCACATTTTGTTAAACTGAAAAATCGCCATTTGTAAGAATCCTGTGGTTAAAAACATCAGCTATCAGTAATTTTCTAACACTGGTGCATCCCAAACACACAGTAAATATGTAAATTTACCCCATCCCCCCAACAATTCCCTAATACCCCTTCAAAATACTTAGTTTTGTGATGTTAAGGCCTTGAGTCAGACATCATATTTTGGCAACTAATTTGTAAAACACCGATGGTTCTTCTAGTGAGCTGTAATTACGTAGTTGATTAAGATTGTGACTTCAAGATTGTGTATCAAGTAGGTTTTTCAGCATGTCTTTGTGTGCCAGAGTGTTGAAATAGCAAGACTAACCTACCTTTTTAAATAGCAAACAAATCTCTCCGCAAAATAACGCATTTCAGATAGGGAATTAATACGACGACATTTCTTACACTCCATCTTTCCACCTTAACGGTACTTTCTTTATTACTCTCAGCCAGCAGATAGCTAACCCAGTCAAGTCATGGGGTTTGCAAGGAGCCATGTCATTGGACGGATATTTTCAGGTTATCGTAATGCGTTCATATCAGACCAATAACAGCATACGTATACTCATCAACATTTCCTACTAAGAACCTTTCAATTTCTAAGCTCTTTTATAAGCATCGAAATAATAAAACACATCGGTTGTCCTTACACGCGAGCGGCAGCAAGACTTATTTTACTTTGAATTTCACTCACATTTATCATTTAAGTTAGATACACCTCTAAACTCCACTAATAGTAATATTTTGAAGACCATATTTAGCCAGAGGCATTACCTGTGAATATCCAGTGAAAAACCAATCAGTGGACCAGATAGAGGGTACGAATAAGCATACTGAAAGTAAGAAAAGCATCAACTGCGTTACTAATGAACCCAAACGCCAACCTTCTCCCTACAATCGTTAGAAGGTCCTTATCAAACTGGACAGTACCCATGGTCCGCGTTTGCTGTCACCAAGGGGCAACCCAGTCCAAGTTTCTGTTACCGACCAAACGACCGCAAAGGCGCATAGACCTGTATAGTGAGCGGGTTTAGAAAAAAATATTTTTTCTTGGCTGAAATCTGCACTGTCACCTGTGGCTTTGGTAAAAATTGAGTTGTATTTAATATGAACGCACCCTAGCCATTTCCGAAGCCAACAGGACGAAAATATAATAACAATAAATAAATAAATAAATAAATAAATAAATAAATAAATAAATAGTGTAAAAATAAACCATCTTCAACATTTTTCTGATATCATCTCCGCAACAATGTTGAACCTTTCCTCGCTTTACTTAAACGTCTATTCAACATAATTTCACACTAAAGATTTGTGAGAGGTCAGTCATTCATACGGTAACTAGGCAGCAGAGGAGTATCTGTGTTTTTACACGTTGTACTATAGCAGCATAAGCTCTGCACAGCACAAATCAAAGTGAAGCAGTTGCACATTTGGCTCAAATATACGTAATGTTAATAAAAAGGTCTCAAACATGGGCAGCATGCCATGAGTTTGCGTGAGATCATTTCTTAAATTTATTTGCCGTATTATTTGCCGTATTATTATATTCTCCATTACTTACAGTTTACACCAGGTCTTCAGTGAATCCTCCAAACCTTAAACAGTATCGTTATTAAATATGCTTCAAAAAATTAGATGTTGTCCGTGCTATTAGCATATGCAGTGGTACATATATCATCAGTTGAAAACGACATCTCTACTAAAATGATGGACAGATGGGACCATTCGTTGTGTATAAATCAGTTGGCACAATAGAGAACAGCATTAGCGTGGTGTAAGTTTAGCTTAACCAGCTTTTACTTCACTTATCAGTAGTCAAATTACTCTTCTTGAGACACTTATAATTTTAATTATAAATGCTTAAAAGCAAAGTGTGAAATCAACTAAGAAAATAATTACACCGCATACTAGTAGCCATGCATACACTAGTATAGAATAGCAAATGGCCCCGTTTTACATTTATTGATACACCAACGGAAAGGCAAAATCTCATTCATCACGACCTCTGATCCTCCAGTGTGCGGGTTGCCTTAGAAGTTGGTTATAAACCGCATCAGCTGAGCAACAAGGAGAAGGTTATATAGGACTAATTATGTGTGCTCGCGCGCGCGCGTGTGAGTGTGTGCGTGTGTGCGGATTGCCTTAGAAGTTGGTTATAGACCGCATCAGCTGAACAACAAGGAGAAGGTTATATAGGATGTGTGTGTGTCTGTTTGTGTGTGTGTGTGTTTGCGTGTGTGTAAATTGTCGTTCAGCATCAAAGCATTCTTATCCAATCGTTATGCTGTCCAATAAAGTAGAAGAGCGTTCCACGTAAACGTTACTTTACCCAGTGCTTAATGCGTGGTTACAGTAGCTAGACCTACCCTTTCCAACATCAGGCATCTTCATACCGGTGTACGCTTCAAGAAACTTATTTATCAGTAGATACTAGAAAGAAAATATTTTAAGTCATATACTCACGAAGGCTTTACACTTCGTGTGATGTCGTTTGTGTTTTGAATCTGACTGGTTTTGTAAACTCGATTAGCAAAATCGCAACACTAATTATTTCACAAATTAAAGAATAAAAATCGACCTAGCAGCGTCAGGGTATCAGTTACTGCAATAGCGACTACCAATGCGCTGAAACGGCGTTAGCATCATTCGGTAACCATTCAGTCATTGCTGTGGACAGTATTCAATTATCAACATAGTGGAAAAGAGACAAGGGTAATACTTCTCCCAAATTGACCTTATTGGCCAAATTGATATTTTTAGCGATTAGAGGCTAAAAGAAGCCAAAGATGGTATGGATGACCCCTCTCTCAGATGCGATGGTTTGTGTCTGTGCTATGTGGAACCCCATCGCTCCACCAAAGTTTCAAAACTTTTTGAGTTTACGCGCCAGGTGCATCCTCCAGAGGATACTGCACAATACTGTGGATTTGATTTTTTAATATCATAAGCTTATTTACTGATTCAATCAGTGATTTTTTTTGTGAAAAAATCCATTTAATATGAAAACAGTGGACAGTGATTTTATGTATCAATTTACGCCGTGCACTGGCGATGACTTTTTTCGTTTTAGATTTTTTAAATTGCTTTGAAGCTACGAAACATGCAATGGCAGATTCAGTGGAGGACACCAAAGGCACGTTTCACTTACTTTAAGCTCCTGATGTATTTTCTTCTTGTTTTATTTCTTTATAAGCTGTAAACAGGTCAGGTATTGGAAAGAATAAACCCTCTTGATGTACTACTATCAGTTAAATTAGCCTGAGCTTTTTGTCTTAAATAATTTGCCTGATTCGCATAGAATATATTTTCCTCGAGAACGAAATTATAAAAAAAAATATCATATTTTTTTGCATTGCACTGTTTATCAATGCATGCTGCAAACAAAAATTAAGAAAAACAAAGTACATATGTTTAACAACATTTTATTATGCTTCAGCACAAGCACGGCGAAACACAGGAGATTTGAACGACAACCAATGTTTTTAAAAAATCAAAATTATATGATACCATGTAATACACGTTTCCAATAATAAGCACCCGCATACGCTATAAATGCCATAGTACAATGCAGAATGTGTTTCTAGAATTTTTCTCAAATATTTCTTTGCTTCAACGGTACATACTTTTTTCGTTTTAACATTTATGGTGTGCAGTTGCGTAACTAAGATTGACAATTTCCTATTCAGTTTGACCACTCTGTCGAACTGTAGAAATGAATCAAAGAAAACAGAGGTTATAGCTTAAATTAAGAAACGTGAACACCTCTATATTAATAACCATATTATATGTCCTCAGGGTTATATACAAAAATTTCAACGGTTGTCAATATTTAAACATGTAAGAAAAGTCAACGAAGAACCAAAAGAATTGCGAGCACCACCAGTTTCAATATTCAGTGTCCATTGTTGATTTCCGTTCGTCATTTTGTCTTTTAGTCGATACAGGATTGCCTCCGTTTAAGTAAAGATCATTTTAGACCGCTGACGGAAGGTCCTTTCAGAAGCAAAGGATGTTTGCAAGTTGCAAGACTACGAAATAACGGATTGCTAGTTATTTAAACAGTTTCAATGGCATCACATGGGTCCCAAGTGGTCTTGTGTCCATATATTTGGATGTAAGTTTTGAGGGGGCGTCCAGCACTCCCCTTTAGCTCACACCATCGACTGATTTCAGTACCCTTAGTCTCTTATTACATGCACGTCCATGAGCTGACCTTTTCTTCATTATCAAGAAAGCACAAAAGTCTGTAATAATTTTGACATTGCTTGTCGCCAACAGGTCATGCGATTCTCATGCTAGTAATTATAAGCGAAGTCTATGCTGTGCCTCGACTTTATTAATTACTTAATTACGAAATTACTTATTTCTAGAAAAAGTAAAAATTAACATACATACACATTGTATTTCCAAATAAAGTCATAAAGGCCATAGCTTTCAAATCAATGGCCGATATTGTTACGCTTGTGATTTCATTAATACATTTGCAAACACGCCCTTGGCGTTATTTTTAATATTTGTTATTATTAATTATGGACAAACGCGTGCCATAACAGTGAAGAAATAATTCTGAAAGCTATCTCAAAGCATTTTAACCAGCCAGAAGTAAGATACGTGCAAAAGTAGTTCGGAGTAATTGGAGGCGTCCGGGGTCTTGTCCATTTACGGCCACCTAAAAGGAAATGTGTCATTAATTACTCCGCTTGCTTTTCTTCTTATCTATTTGGTGAGCACAAGGTGATATTGTTAAGAAACATTAAATTTTGAAAGCAGGGCGCCAAGAAGGGTTAAGTATTATACATTTAATAAGATCTAGACTAAGGCACATATTATACCGAGCCACGTGGAAATGATTTACTTTAAAGGGAAATTAACATTTAAGTGGGTCACTAAGAAAGGCACTCCATAAGTAGTAATGATAAGAAAAGGAAAGTTATTCAGTTTCAATTAACTTGTCAACATAAGTGAAACCAGGGCGCTCCCCCTTCCTTTCATAAATCAAAACGGCGAGTTCTGTTCCCTTCCAGGTACGTCACAAAAGATAAAACCCACAGAGAGCAGTTTAAAGTCATGCATACTACAACAAACATAATATTATACAATTCGTTAAGATAGATTGAAAGGGAGTGGAGATTACCCCCTCAAGTAATGCCCTGAATTCATCAGTAATGGTTAATACCAAAAGATTATAATACACGGGGGGTGTAGAGATGGGGTTAGTTTTCCCCCTCGCTTAATGCCCTGAATTTGCCAGTATAAGTTGATACACAATATTATAATGGGGGTGCATAAGCGGGTTAGTTTCCCCCTCGCTTAAAGCACTCAATTTACCAGTAATGGCTAATACAAAATATTTTAACTTACGGCCACAAAGGAGAAGACGCCTCTACGAGGGGTCCCCAAGGGGTAGCATCGCTCACCGGAATGGTTAGGATGGTCTCGTCGTTAAGTGGGTCTGTGTTCCAGTCGCCACATATGCCAAGAATATGGTTGCACCAAATAGGGGGGATTACAATCACCATACAGTGACGGGCAATATAGAGCTTGATCCTGAAGAATTTGCATTCGATACAGAGATACCACCCTGGTATGTGAGCATTTAGCCACACAACCGTGATGCGAAAATATTTCCCATTATGTAGGTCTTCAGGTCCTGCAATTGTTGTGGTCAAGATGGAGGGAGCTCCACCATCTATCACCTGTAATTATAGAAAAAAGGATGAAAAGACGAAAAAGGATGAAAAATGCCCCCCCCCCCCCCTGCGTTTGCAGCATGGAAAAGTAGTCCTCTAGAAACCGTAGTCCGATTCCATAACTTTGCACACGTGTCGATCGTCCATTTTAAGTCCACGGATGGACATTCCGACCACGAGATCGGTATATAATAAAACTGTTTAGCAAAATGTTTTATTTGAAAGATTATAATGGTAATGTAAATGATATTAGACAAACTCGTTATTGGCAAGTTAAGGACGTTTTGGCTTGATATTTGTTTTATATTACGCTCATGAAAGATGCGGGCGTTCAAATGACCAGTTTCCCCGATGTACTGTCATCAAAATTATAAATCTTTTCAAAATATATAAAACTGATATTAAAACATCATATCTCTCTTGTGTTTTATACTTCAGTAGAGTAAACATCTGATTCGACCCTGTACCTATTTTGGCAATGTACATGTACATAATTTGGTACCTTAGGAAGGATTTTAGGTTGCACGATGAGATTACCGGTTCACACAGAAGACTTTTAATAACAGATAACTTACAGAACCAAGGGAATGAGCTGCGAACAAAATCGCCATTTTTTAACCGAATAGACAATACCCGGCATGTGGGTAGATCATTACTTGCTGAATCAACGGCCTGCATGTCCTACAACAAAACTGAACCAAATTGGTCATGTTTTGACTGTTGGCTGGAATTCTATTCCGGATTAATATCTAAAGACCTATCCTAAGATATGCCTTTCTGCTTGAAATCTCTAGTAGTAGCCAAATGAGGGCAGGCGTAACAGCCACCATTAATATGACAAGACATGAGAGTCCTTCGTGCTGCGTGCAAGTCTTTTAAAGAAAATAATTTGAAAAATATGGAGATCCAAACTATCGCTTTCAATGGTTGTCGTATAACTCGGAATAGGTAATGTATTTTTGTTTGCTTCACTGGCGAATTCAATTAATGAACTGATGTCACAATGACATGAAAGAGATTATTAAAAGTTATTAAACACGATTTTAATCCTTACTTTCATTTATCAGTCAGTAAAATAGGAAAGAAAACTGATGAATTATATAATATTTACTGCACAAAATTTTAAATATTGAATAAAAACACGCAACAAAAATGACGTTAATTAATGCGCGCAACGATGTTGCACAGTATAGCATAAAGAAACTACCTTTAAATAGGAAGAGCTGTATACGGAGAGAGAGAGAGAAAGAGAGAGAGAGAAAGCTTACTTTCAAAGTGTACGTTCCTGTGAACGTGCTCTTGTAATTGACGGTAACGCTACTCTTCCAGCAGCCAAATTTTACAGCTTTCAATCGGGTCTTCGGGCCGCCATTGAAGAATTCGTGCCTTGTCAACACATACCACATTCTACATCTAGGAAGGCCTATTTTCAAACGAGGCATTGCCATAAAGCCGATATGACCAGGACTGGTGTTGTACCTGAACTGCCTTTTATCGCAAGTCAAATAGCGGATATCGCCGTGGGCATGGCAATAACAGATGCCAAAATCTGAAATGGATAAGTAATAGGAGAAGTTTATCAGCAGAGATCATACGGGTACGGTGCATTTGTGTGATATACATTATTATCATTTAACTGGGATGAAATCTTTCATAAAAAGTTTTACTAGAAAAACACTCAGAGAATATACATGTATACACACTTTTCTAAGTAAGACTAATTCTGATTTATACGGGATGTTATATCGAAATCAGACGAATGCATTGTTAGTTTGTTTCTACTAATACCCAATGGTTGCGCTCTGAAACTCTAATGGTCAAGGAGGAAATGTAAATTGGAAATTGAAATGTAAAAAAATAGGATCATCCACTAAAATACTTTTGGTCAGCCCCGACTAGTAAATGTTCTCAGATGTCACAGCTACCGGTAATTTCCATAGAATTAATAAACTTTTAAATCCAGAACCTCATATTTAACTGTAAGTAAGGGTAAAGTTATCCATATCATTTAATCGTTAGTGGTCACTGTCACTGCACCATTGTCAAACAGTCAGCCAAAGTCCCTGGACCATGGTTTCATGGTCTACTATCACCGAATTTAGTAAAAATGTCAAGGAATACCGTCACAGTCAAAGTAGGAAGATCGTAACGTCCGTCAGAAAAATTAGATATCCGTCTTTGTATAAACTTGAAAAAAATTGAACCGTGAATTCTAGTATACTTTTGATAAGCATATGTCGACCAATGGCCACTTGATTGTACTTGTACAGATTGTACTCTATTTTGTATTACAACTGTTTGTGTCGTACCGGCGTATTCTGTGCAAACACAATGATCGCTTCATCGACCGGTAGGGTAATGCTAACCCGACAAAAGCAATCTTGAATTATGTTGTAACATGTAAGGATCATTTGTAAGTGGTAAAGTAGTTTTGAATTGGAATAAGGGCCCGTTTCCAACTGATTCATTTCTTAATTAAGGTCAGATGATCTGTCACAGCACACACCCACTGCAAATGTTACTTGTAAAGAGGAGCCTACGGCAAACATGCCGAAAAACGGATTTTCATGAGTCTGTCTTTAAACGCTTTATGAAAAAAAGTTATCTGAAGATAACAACAATTTGAATCCTTATCCTCCAAACTTGTAACTGCAAAGTTGAATTAACAAATTCGCCAAACTGCGGTTTAAAGGAAATTCAAACAACCGCCGACAGTTACGATTTTACCGACCACTGACGTTAATCTCGCTCGCTTACCTTTTTATTACGCTCCTTACACGTTTGTTTATTATTAGGTATTACATTTATGACAAAGTCGTGTTTGTAATCCGGGCTAACCAGTCTTGAAGCCCATTTCTTTCTCTTTTTTATTGCTACCTCCAGCAACGTAAGCTTTTATAAATAGATAACAAAGAAAATGTTTTACATTTACATGTATCACCCACCAGCAATCCAAATATTTTTATCTTAAAATTTCAACATAACATCTCTAATAAAAACCTTCGGGTGGATCTAAACACCTTGTTCCGGCCAATATACCTAATACAGACAATGCATGCATTTTTTGGCTGACGGAATAACTTTTCTTTCCTGAGGATTAATATTAAAATTATATTTAATTCAATGTTTTTTCAATGGTGATTACAAATCTGCTTATATCATTACTTACAGTAACAAGGCAGATGTATAGCGGGAAAGAAACAGTCCCCATAGTAGTCTTGCTCTGCGGTTGTCAGCGAGTTCCACATGTCATTAAATGCAATTGATATGTTCTGTTCTTCGGGGGTAATCTGAGACTGGGCAGGAACAACAGCTACCATTGCCACAGCAAAGAACATAAGCACGGCCACGTTTCTGTCCCCTGTCATCTTCAAGCTGGAGTCTTTCTGGCACTGGTGTTCAAGGAGAGGTGCACAACAACTGATATTTTCTCTCCTCCACCCATCTTATATATTCATTTTTAAGTGGGCGTGTAGACCGCCTTCGCCACGGTGGCATACAAAGCGAGCGCATGCGTCTTAATTGCCACAACTGTGCCTCGTCTCTTTTTGAATCGTTTGCAGAAAATCGTTATTTCAAGTATGTTCAGTGTTAGAAATTAAGGCTGGACAACTTTCAGAACGGGCTGAGAAGTTTTCCCACCCGGCAGACATTCGAGACAGCTACTCTCAAGATGGCTGAACTTTCGGTCCAGCAACTAATTTTCCTAAGAGGCAAACACTGAGTATGTTGATAGCGTTTTCATAAATTCTGCTTGAAAATCAATGTCGATGTCTCTCAAATTACCAGACCAACATTTTCAAAGTCCAATTGGCTCACTGTTTAACAATCTAAAGATTTTAGGCAACGATATATTTTTAATGTTCCTAAATGACGTGCGATGGTGATCGGTAACATAAATGACCAAATTTCCCAGCTGAAACCCCTTTACTGTTCAGACTATATTATTCAAGTAGAGTCACCATAAACTCTAACATGCATTTAAGATTACGGGGGTCACTGTCGTTGTTTCAGAAATCGATAATGCCAATTGTTTATCAAACATCCATGTAAGAATGGCCTGATCATAGAGTTTTTCTGAAATACTCGATATTTAGATTATGGATAAGAGACGGCAGTATAAACTTCACTCCAGTTTTATCTCAACGCAGTAAGAATTGAACAAAAATCAATCTTTTCCAGCCACACTTAATTGACATTATTTATTAAAAGCATCGGAGACAGCGAAATGCTTGAGTAGGCAGAAACTGCGCAATTAATTGAAATGCGTAATATTTTTCTAGTCTGTCGAGAAAATGTTGCTGGTACAGGTGTCTTTTTTCAAGTTTAATTAAACGTCTTTATTTTTATCCATCTTCGATGACAGTCTTCGTTTTCATTAAAAAAGAATGAAGTCAAGGCCAAAAAACTGACAAAATGAGGCCATGCATTCATGCAGCATGACCGCTTTGATTTTCCATACATTTCCAACACGCTTCTTAGCTTTTGCCAAGCTGTATGATTATACCTAACATTGTACTGGATTATGATTGAAATCATTTTTATGTCACACAAAGAGCTGCGTGTTAATGTGATGCGTTCAAACCAACACCTAAGTTAATTGGTATCATCAGCACAGAAGAATTTTAATCAAACATTAATTTGTATTCTGAGTAACACAGAAGGGTTCGCGCTCCTTACTTCTAGCTTTCACTCTTTTTAGTGCCCTTGGGAAGCTTAACAAGACGTCTTTGGCCACCCACAGTTTTTATAGCATCTTTCTTCGTATGGAATGAACTTTTTATTAAGCGCTTATCCTTCAAATTAAAAGATGTGATAACATACGAAAGACAATTAAGACACCACACAAAAATACTGAATATTTCAAAACGTAGTGGTTTGTTGGTTAGCAAAAAAGATGCAGATACATCGCATAATCAATGAACAGGAAAGGAATTTGCTGCAAACTCACTCTACATTGAGTTGATTTTTCACATTTTATTAAACTGAAAAATCGCCATTTTTAAGAATACTGTTGTTAAAAACAACAGCTTTCCCTAATTTGCAAGAGGGTTCAAACACAGGAGGATCCCAACACCACAGGTGCATGTAAATTTACCCCCTCCCCCCAACAATTCCGTGATTCCCTTTCAAAATACTTAGTTATTTGTGATGTTAAGACCTCATATTTTGACAACTAATCACTAAAACACCGATGGTTCTCCTAGTGAGCTGTAATTACATAGTTGATTGAGATTGTGACTGTCCAGTTTCTTACGTGCATCAAGAAGGTTTTTCGGAATGTCTTTTTTAGCGTGCTCCAGCACAAGGTGTGCCAGAGTGTTGAAATAACAAGACTTACCTACCTTTTTATATAGCAAACAAATCTCTCCGCAAAATTACGTATTTGAGATAGGGAATTAACACGACGACATTTCTTAGACTCCATCTTTCCATCTTAACGGTACTTTCTATATTACTTTCAGTCAGCAGATAGTTAACCCAGCCAAATCATGGGTTTTGCAAGGAGCCATGTCATTGGAGGGATATTTTTAGGTTATCGTAATGCGTTCATAGCAGACCAATGACAGAATACGTATAATCATCAACATTTCCTTCTAAGAACCTTAAGAACACTCAGCCAGCAGATAGCTTACCTAGCCAAGCCATGGGTTTTGCAAGGGGCCATGTCATTGGACGGATATTTTTAGGTTATCGTAATGCGTTCATATCAGACAAATAACAGCATACGTATAATCATCAACATTTCATACTGGGATCCTTTCAATTCCTAAGTTCTTTTTAAAACATCCATATTATAAAACACATCGGGCGTCCCTACAGCGAGCGGCAACAACACGTATTTGCCTTTAAATTTCACTTGTATTTATCATTTAAGTTAGATACACCTCTCAGCTTCACTAATGGTAATATAATAAAAGTCTATAGACTGTGCGGGGCTTTTTCCAAACATACAACGTAGCATGCAGTCGTTGTTCACACTTGCACGCCTTCCTAATAGGGTTATCAAGTAAAATATGGGGATAGGCTACCCTCTACCAGGGCGGCAGATATTAAAGGCTCATTTTCCATTTATAGTTAGAAGATTGATCATTTTTAACCAGCGACATTATCTGTGAATATCTAGTGAAAAATTAATCAGTGGAGCTGGTAGAGGTTATGGATAAGCACACTGAAAATAGGAAAAACATCAACTGTAAGTAATGAACACAAACGCCAACCTCCTCCCTACAATTCTTAGAATGGCCTTATAAAACTGGGTAGTACCCGTGTTGCGCGTCTGCGGTCACCAAGTTTCTGTTACCGACCAAACGACCGCAAAGACGGGCCAACCAGTTACCAGATAGTTAGTGAATAACTAAGGCCATAGCGTGTTTTCCTTTATATAGGCTCTATTCCCGTAGATTTTAGA